CAACACTGAGGGTTGCGATCCGATGCCGGTCAGGAAAAAAGACAAAAAGGAAAAAAAAAAAAGGTAATACAAATCTCTCCATGAAATTTCTGAAGTATCCTAGTATTTATGTCTGGAATTAGAGCCAAAATGAAGAGAACAAAAAATAGATTGTTTATCTGAAATAGAGAACATTTGGAAATAGAAAAAGATAATGGAGTTAGAAAAAAATTCTAATTTCCAATTTGTGGAGGGAAGGAGTTCCAAAGAAAAAAATCATGTTCTGATTGGAGTTGAGAGGTAATTAAGTACTTTAAAGGTTTAGAAGAAATAAGGTCATTCTGTGAAGAATGCCAGTGATAAAGGATTCTTGCCACCACCAGTCTAGGACTACTTGAGAGTGGAGGAGAAGCTATTATTAGGAAATAGAATTCTGATGATCTTGTACCTAAAAACCTGACAAGTCAGATTTTAAGCCAACATAAAAACATATTTCCAATTTAATCAGCCTGAGAGCTTAAATAACTAAATTTCTCTTTGGTTCTAGTGGAGTATATTCTGCAGAATATCATTCTGGGTACTTTTAAATGTATTTTTCAATATTTCTTCTGTTTTTACAGCCTTATGATGCCACCCATCTTGTGAAGTCCTATCCAGGTTCTCAACTAGATATTCTGATTGATCAAGGAAAAGATGACCAGTTTCTTTCAGATGGACAGTTACTCCCTGATAACTTCATAGCTGCTTGTACAGAAAAGAAAATCCCCGTCGTTTTTAGATTACAAGAGGCAAGTATTAGGAAGCCTTAGCTTGATCTAAATAATGTGATTATAAAAAAGCAAGATTCCATGGTTCTTGCTTTCTTCACCGTATTTTAGAATATAAAACACTACCTCTCTAGTACGATGGTTTTTAATTACATTAAGACAGTTGAAGTGAAAGCCTTTTTATTAATGATATCTAAGATCAAATTTGATAGAAATTGGAAAGCTTTGGGTAGTGAAAAGTATGTACAGTTCTCTCCCTGCTGTGAAAATGGTAAATAACCAGAAGTTTAATGCTTGAGTTTAATCCTCAGCATTAGCGGATATTTCTTTCTTTACACATGTGCCATTGTTGCAGTAGGATAAATTAATGACAAGCTTCTACATCAGTTACTCTTCATTTAATGTATACATGTGAGCCTCAGAAGCAGAGTACTCTTTGTCTCAAGCACACACGCACTTTATATTATTTGATTTATATGCTGATCTATCCGTTGTGCTACTTGGTATTTCTAGTTAAGAATAATAACTATCAATTAGCTTGCAGCTCAAGCACACACGCACTTTATATTATTTGATTTATATGCTAATCTATCCGTTGTGCTACTTGGTATTTCTAGTTAAGAATAATAACTATCAATTAGCTTGCAGATTTTTCTTGACTGAAATACTTTTGACTATCCACTACTCACTTAACTGGGTTTATGCTATTACAGTTGCAATTAAAGAAATTCTGCTTTTATTTAAAACAAATATTTATAAGCTTCAGAACATAATATAAACAAAACCTTTATTTCAGAGTGAAAAATGAACACTGAAAAGTATACATGATTGTCCATTTTTAAAAACATTTTTATTTGTGTTTAAGGGTAGTGTGATAGGCATGTTGATCTAAAATGTAATTATGATGGTAAATGTTCAAATAAATCTAGACCAATGTGGTAAATTATAGTTTATGAAATGTTCTCACAGCATTAACTCATTTTCAATTCATATAGCACCAAATGAGAGACTATTTCATCTGTTTTACAGATGTGGAGACAGGCTCAGAGAAGTACTTAGTTAAAGTCATACAGCTGGTACATGGTAGAACCAGCCCTGGAAGCAAGGTCATTTGGACTGCAAATACTGTCCTCCTGTCATCTCTAGGCATTCCAAGCAACATGATATGCTCCTGAGGAGCAAAGGGATGGATATAGAGCTAGCCCAAGGAGAGCTTGTGCATAACCTGCTACCTGTCTAACTTATGCAGCTGATCTTAGCAGTCTCCAGTTTGTAGGGATACTTTGAATATGTGAGAGAGAGAGAGAGATATAAACTACGGTAAAATATATCAAAAACCAATACATTATCTGTATCTTGTTTTCTCTGAGTATCCATCCTCTAGAACTAGAGTTTGTTTTAGATTTATTTGAACATTTACCATCATGATTATGCTTTAGGTCAACAACTAACCTTGAGAAATCCAAATACCAATTTGATTATAAATACAGTAGTACATTTAAGTATATTAACTATAGCTATGAGTGACATACCAAACCATGTTTTTTTCCAAATGACCTTATTTTTTTGGCTAGCCATGTCAGATGCCTTGTCTGCTTCCCCTGGGGCTGTGCCAGGGAATTCTGTTGTTTCTACAAAGTTTCTGCCTGCCAGCAAAGTTGGAAAATCTCTGGAGTTTGTTATGAAAACAGCATAGAATTAGAAAACTGATGATACTCTTAGAGGAAAAGAATAAATCAACTTATTTATTTCTAAAATGCCTATATCCCAGGCAACTAAAAAACATAGTTGGCTGTACTTAGTGAGGAATCAAGACAATATGCATTTAATTCTTCTTAAAAAGTAAGAAAGCACTGAAATCACCAGTCATAATCTTGAGCTTAGGCACAGTTTCCCACTCACCCTTCTTCCAGCAAGGTCAGGTTGAGAGTGAACTACACAGTCTGAAGCAGATTGCATTTAAGTTTGTTGTAATTAAATTAACAACTGAATGGACATTGAGTAGTGGCTCCAGAGAGGCTAATTTCAGATTTTCGAGCCAACTTCCATTGACCTCAGATCTCAGAGTTACATCACCTGCTTTATCATTTGATTAGAAGTACAGTATAACTGTATTTCTTTGTGAAATAGGAGCTGTAGAAAATAAAATAAGCTGAAAATATAGTAGGGGGTATATATAAATAAATGATCTAAGGGAAGAAAGAAAATGATTGCAGTCATGTGCATGGTTTACCCAACTTCGTTCCTTTACCTCTTTTTAATGGTGCTAAGTGCTCACAATTTATATATTTACTCTGTCAACTGTCCAAAAAAAATTGAGGGGAGGGATTAGTGCATGAGGATATTTATTTGGTTATTATTTATGAAAGGACGACAGGACCCGAGCTGACAGTTCACCAGAGAAGTCCCGCTTTATTCGGGGGAGAAGCATACATTTATATAGAGCCGGGTTCCGGGAGAGGGTGGTTAGTACACGGGGCGGTAGTTGATTGGCCGGGGGCGGGTAATGATTTCTGATAGGCTGCACCTTGGCGCCAGCGAGATTGTTAGGGCCCGGAAGAGAAAAGCACCATGTTTTAGGGAGTGCCTCCTTTGGGGTCTTCTATGGGGCCTTACAATTTATATAATTTTTCTTTTTCTTTTTGGCTTCAGAGAATCTAAATTGAAAACCTTGGGCCGGCCCATGGCTCACTCGGGAGAGTGTGGTGCTGATAACACCAAGGCCACGGGTTTGGATCCCATATAGGGATGGCCAGTTAGCTCATTCGGTGAGTGTGGTGCTGACAACACCAAGTCAATGGTTAAGATCCCCTTACTGGTCATCTTTTAAAAAAAAGAAAAAGAAAAACGTACTAGATGGCAAAATTCTGATAGCTGGTATACAAAGAATGAATCTTAGTCTGAAAAGGCAGAGCCTAGTCTGTCTTACGTTTAGTTATTGAAATTATATAATGAGAAAAAAATTCAGTGACCTAATACTTCCCAGAGGAAACTTCCAGAGAAACTCCCTTCTTGGAGACTAGGATGAGAGGCTATATTACCTCCTCAAGTCTTAGGACTGTTTTGAAGATTCAGGAGTCTGCCTGTTGGAGAAGAGTAAGAACATGGCAGAGAATTCCAGAAATGCAGGGATCTCTCACTCATCTCTGTATCCACATGCTTCGCACAGTTATCTAGCACCTAGACTCCCAGTGTTTGTTAAATAAAAAAATGAATACCTTTCAACAACCTTCTGTGTACTCTGAAGAGACTTGATAACCTGAGGATTCATATTCGAGCTTTTCTAATTGGGTCTAGAAAATATGTAGGAAAACACTGCCTATTAGAATAAATGTCCGTCATAGCTACTGGATCACTACGTCCTTTTTGGGAGTCAAATGAGGAAGGAAAGAATGTGTTTATTTATTTTTATACTCCAGGAGTCAGTTTTGCTACCAAGGATTTTTCCATTTAAAGTATGAGGTAGAGGAGAAAAGTAAGGCCCCTTCAAGTGTCACTAAATATAGGCAGTTGCACAAGATGTTTAACATAGTGAAACAATGCATTAGTCAAAGAATTTAAAGAAGCCACTGCCATTTAACAAGACTGATAAACAAGTTCAGACTAGTCAAGGGCAACACAGTGTGTAACTTCAGCAGAAGGCCAACCGTTCAGATGTGTTCTGTTGCCTTTACATTAACACTTTTAAAAAAATCCTTGGTCTCTCATGGCAGGCATTTTCTTTCTCATAAAGGTGACTCTTACTTTAAATATTATTATGGAAGTTATGGACATGTGCTTTGGATTTTAGATGAAATGCACTGTTAACTTGTGTATTAGTCTGTTTTTGTTGCTTATAACAAAATACTTGGAACTGGGTAATTTATAGAGAAAATGAAGTTTATTGCTTGCAGTTTCTGAGGCTGGGAAGTCCATCTGATGGTGGCGACAGTGATCTCACATTGCAAGATGGTGGAAGCAGAGAGAGCAAAGAGAGAGCAAGACAGACTCTCCTCTTCTTTTAAAGCCCTCAGAACCACACCCCTGACCACCATTTTTAATCCATTCACTACTGCATGGTTCTGCAATCTAATCACCTCTTCAAGGCTCCACCTTTCAATTACCATAATAGGATTTCCCACCTTCTTAGCAATCACAGTCTTGGCTAAGTTTCTAATACTTAAAATCTTGGGGGACACAATTCAAGCTCCAGGGAATTTTGGGGGGGACTAATTCAATCCACTACACCTTGCAGTACATTCCTGAGTGCTCAAAATTGTCACTTTGATTTACCCTGGGACTTCTCTAACAATAACAATGGCGGCTGTTCATTGTGTGCCTGAAACTGTACAAGGCACTTAACATACGTGAAGCTAAGGATCAAATCTGGGATACTCAGTCACGTTAGGGCTTTTTTTGCACAAGTCTTCTGAAGCACCCGTGTCCCTACATCTGTGCCTATTTTCGATCAGATCCATCTTTTGATGTGAAAAATGGCAGGTACTACATTTCACAAGTTTTTGTGACCTAAAAATCATGGGCCTGTTTAACTACTTAACAATTTAAGAATTGTAGGG